ATATATATATATATGTATTATATATATGTGTGTATATATATAAATATGTTTATATATGTGTATATATGTATATCATTTCATTATATATGTATGTGTATAGTTTTTAAATTTTTATTTTTATTTTTATTATTTTATTTTTATTTTGTATTAATTAATATTATTAAATATTAGGGATTGATGATGTGGCAGATGACTAGGATGCCACGTCAGCATTAAATAATATATTTTTTCGTTCAGGGTTTTATTTGCCAATTTTTAAAAGTATAGAGTTTTAATTGCCAATTTTTAAAAGTACAATGTTTTTTTGGATCAAAAAAAAGTACAGGGTTTAAATTGCGACGAGAGAAAAGTACAGGGTTTTAAATGGAATTATCCCTTAATAGTATTAATGTTTTGATAAAGTTAATGCCTCAAATTGGTGATGAGAAACTTCTTCTACATTGGCAAACCCCTCCAAAAATAAATATTAATTTATTAATAAAAATACATAGGGTGTATACATGTTTTGTCTTTACAATCACATAGATTTCAAGATTAAAAAAAATTAACAATAATCATGCAAGGGAAGACCACAACTAGCTAGTATTAATGTTTTGATAAAGTTAATGCCTCAAATTGGTGATGAGAAACTTCTTCTACATTGGCAAACCCCTCCAAAAATAAATATTAATTTATTAATAAAAATACATAGGGTGTATACATGTTTTGTCTTTACAATCACATAGATTTCAAGATTAAAAAAAATTAACAATAATCATGCAAGGGAAGACCACAACTAGCTATGAAATATTTTGATAGGATTTGTATACATAGTGTTATCCCAAATTAAAAAAATTATTGTCCGAAACATTTACCATCCATGTCAATGTTATAATAACATCCAACATATATATATATATATATATATATTGCGCTGACGTCACGGACGACCAAAAAGGAAATGATCATGGAAAGAAAATATCTTAGAGTTTAGTGTAGAGGCCGAAAGAGTAAAACAAACGTGGGTAAGGCCTCAGGGTAGGTGGGCTGACCAAGCCCCCAACCTCCTAATGACTCGGTTAAATTATTACTAAAGTATGATTTGACACAACTTCAACATATTTTATTATGATTACTGTAAACCAATACCACCTGTCGGTCCACGTGTCCGTCACCCACTAGACATCTCCACCTTTGTACCTTTGTTATTACAAAAATAAACACGAGAATTTATATAAAATAAATACGAGAATTTTAACGGTTTTAAAACATTCACTTGTACTAGCCCACGTGTCACCCAGTCCACTTAAATATAGACAGGAAATCCACTCACTCTCTACCCAAATATATGTTCCTGTGACATGAAAGTCCAAAGCAATCTATACCTCTCTATCCAACGGGCATTTTAGTCACTTACTCTTATATGTAACAGCATCCGGTATATATTTGCTGAATAGATAAATGTTCTTTGTTTGTTGTTAACTAGATAAATACTATTTTATTCTGTATTATTTTACTTTGATTGCAATTAATATAATTGAAACCAGCGCCTTATATAACTTCCTCTCTAATCTTGTACGAGCTTCTTGACTCCCGTTCTCCTTGTTTTGGTCATTAACTAGAGTGAGATTAGTCAAGGCCCAATTCTTGTACGAAAGAGGACTTTTTTTAATCATATACATGCCAGATTCATTACATAAATTAACTGTTGCTACCATGAAGTTAGGGGTGTAAAACGAGTCGCGGCTCGTAGATTCGCTTGTGTTTTTCCGAGACTCAAAACATTTGAGCCGAGAAAAAACCGGACCAAACGAGTCATCCCGTCATGAGCCGGGTTGGCTCGCGGGCCAGAAAAAAAAATTATTATTTTTTTAAAAAATTTTAATATTTTTATATATTTTTATATATTTTATATACAAATTATTTTTTTTATTAGTATGTTTTTGTTTAAAATTTTATTTTTTATTATATTTTAAATATTTTTTTAAATATGAAAATTATTTTTAAATATTTTTTAGTATTAAAATTTTATTTTCAAAATTTATAAATTTGACTGGCGAGCTAAGACGATATGGGTTGGGTTGATATATTTTTGACTCACTAAAAAATAGGTTGGACCGGACTGGGATGAGCTAAAAGTTTTCCAGATCGAAACGAATCGGGATGGACTAGACCAGACTAGCCCGTTTTTTTTATAAAAAAAAAACATGGAGTCCACTCTAGATGTTAAAAACAAAAAAAAAATAGTATACGGTAATAATGAAGTTCCTAATACTGTTACGTACTTCTCCGTTTCATAACTAATGAACTAAGGTTTGTTTCATAAACAATCCTCCGACGTATATTCCATTCCCATGATGTTTGTATATAGACACACGCACACCGCTATAAAAGGGGAGGAGAGGCATTGAACGTTAGCAACAACAGCACTAAGAGAGAGAGAGAGAGAGAGAGAGAGAGAGAGAGAGAGAGAGAGAGAGAGAGAGACGGGGTATGCTTATTTCTCATTGCATGTTCTCGATAGTGTAGAAACCAAACCTATAAATTCTAATTTCCTCATTCTAACTGTGTTGTTTTGATCATTTTTTTGTGCAGGTGAGATTGAAAAAAATCAACTTTAATTAAGTTGTAACGATGAGCCCGAACAACGTTACCACGAGCCTTGAGTTTTCAGCGCAACCATTGCCACTTATTTTTCTAACTCTCGTAATCTCGGTTACTGCGATCTTGTTCTTCGTGCGGTCCACGAAATCATCAAAGGGACGAGAGCTACCCCCGGGACCGCGTGCATGGCCAATCATCGGGAACTTAGGCGGCATGATCATGAACCGACCGGTTTTCAGGTGGATCAACCGAGTCATGAACGAGTTGCAAACCGAGATAGCTTGTTTCCGGTTCGGAAACATCCACGTCATCACCATTTCGTCCGATGAGATTGCCCGTGAAGCCCTTAAGGAGAAAGATTCGGTTCTTACAGACAGACCGGAGTCATTGTTGGTTCTATTGGTTCAAGTCCGGTACAGAAAATGTTGGTTCAAGGACCGGTTTAAGAAACTAAAATGGATTGATTTACAGTTTGTATGTTTCAGTTTTTTAGGATAGTTATTAGTAGTGGTTTGTGGTTTTATGTAACTTCTATTAGCAGTTTTTTATTTTGTTTTTTATAAATACGTGTATGGACATATGTGTAGAGATGGAATGAAGTGATATTTGCAGAGAAATAGTTCTTGTTTTTATGTCTTCCTTTAATTCAAAGAAAGAGTGAATTGAGAGAGAGAAACACTCTTTGAGAGGAATTAAAAGGAAGATAACAGTGGTATCAGAGCGTTTTGAGGTCTTTCTGGGATCTGTGGATCGAACATGGATCAATCTGAAAATTCGGTGAATTCGGCTTTAAACATGGTTGCCCCGATCTTCGACGGGGAAAACTATGAGGTTTGGGCCGTCAGAATGCAAGCGTTTATGGAGGGTGCCGATCTTTGGGAAGCTGTTGAGGAGGATTACGACGTTCCTCCATTACCGGTAAACCCGACGACAAACCAACTTAAGAATCACAAAGAGAAAGTGATGAGGAAGGCGAAGGCGAAATCGTGCATGTTTGCTGCAGTTTCTCCCTCAATCATGATCAAGATTATGAAGCTTCAATCGGCGAAAGGTATGTGGGAATTTCTGAAAAAGGAGTACGAAGGGGATGAAAAAATTCGAGGATTGAAGGTTCTGAATTTGCTGCGAGAATTCGAACGACAGAAAATGAAGGAAAACGAGTCTGTGAAAGATTATATCGATCGTCTTGTCGATATAATCAACAAGGTAAGAATTCTTGGCACCGAAGTTGATGATGTTAAGATTGTGCAGAAAATTCTGGTTTCTATTCCGGAAAAGTTTGAAGCAACGGTGGCATCTTTGGAGAACACTAAAGACATGGCGAAAATCAAATTGTCAGAGGTTCTTTGTGCCCTTCAAGCGCAAGAACAAAGGAGGTTTATGAGAAAGGAGGAGTCTATGAGAAAGGATGAATCGGTGGAAGGTGCTCTAATAGCAAATGCAAAAATAAATTCTACAGGAAATGAAAAATTTGGTGAGCAATCCATTGAATCGTGCAAGCATTGTGGTAAGAAGGGTCATCCACATTGGAGATGTTGGAAAAGACCCGATGTTAAATGCAGGAAATGCAATAAAATGGGGCATGTCGAGAAGATTTGCAAAGAAAAGAATACTGAAAATGTTGAAATTGAAGCGAACAAGGCTGAAGAAAGTGAAGTGGAACAACTCTTTTGATTGACATGGTTGAGAGACATTGAACCAAGGAGGAGTGTTGGTTCTATTGGTTCAAGTCCGGTACAGAAAATGTTGGTTCAAGGACCGGTTTAAGAAACTAAAATGGATTGATTTACAGTTTGTATGTTTCAGTTTTTTAGGATAGTTATTAGTAGTGGTTTGTGGTTTTATGTAACTTCTATTAGCAGTTTTTTATTTTGTTTTTTATAAATACGTGTATGGACATATGTGTAGAGATGGAATGAAGTGATATTTGCAGAGAAATAGTTCTTGTTTTTATGTCTTCCTTTAATTCAAAGAAAGAGTGAATTGAGAGAGAGAAACACTCTTTGAGAGGAATTAAAAGGAAGATAACAGTCATACTCAACTTCAGCAATATGCAGCGGCTTGAAAACCCTAGTTTTCTCAAACTATGGAGATCAGTGGGTGAAGATGAGAAGAGTGATGACGTCAGAGCTGATGTCACCTGGAAGACTGAACTGGTTACTTGATGCCAGAACAGTGGAATCCGACAATCTCCTTGCCTACGTTCACAACCTTTACAAACGGTCCAAGACGGTAAACGTTAGAGAAATCGGGAGGACTTACGCCTACACTGTCATGATGAGAATGATGTTTGGTCGTAGGTGTCTCACGGAAGTATCCACAGAGGATGGAAGCTTGGGACCGATGGAGAGAGAACACGTGGACGCCATATTCAAATCTTTGGACTGTTTCTTTAGCTTTCAGGTATCAGATTTCATTCCTTGTCTAAGGGGTTGGGGTTTGGACAGGCATGAGAAGAAGGCAAGAGAAGCATGTGACACCATTGCTAGGTGCAACGCTCTAGTTATCGACGACAGAATCAAGTTGTGGAGGGAGAGAGAAGGAAAGAAGGATGTCGAAGATTGGCTCGATGTCTTAATCTCTCTGAAAGATTCCGAAGGGAAGCCATTGCTTACGCCTCAAGAAATCAAAGGTGAATGCAAGGTAAGCGATTTCCAATAACCAATAAACACATACACACGTGACGATAACCATATATATTAATTGATATGTATATGTGAAAAACATATATATTCACAGGATGTTTGTGTTGCATCGTTGGATAATCCGGCAAACAACGTGGAATGGACACTTGCCGAGATGTTAAATCGACCCGAGACTCTTAAAAGGGCTATGGATGAACTCGATAGAGTGGTCGGAAAAGACAGACTTGTGCAAGAAAGTGACATACCGAACCTCAACTACATAAAATCTTGTTGCAGAGAGTCTTACCGACTTCATACCGTTGCTCCATTTTTACCCCCTCATGTAACTACTGAGGACACATCCCTCGGGGGATTTTTTGTCCCAAAAGGTGACATGTGGACCCTCCTCTGTAATGTTCAATTACACGCAAGCATGCATGTATACAACTTTGATATGAAAATATTTAAATCTGATGTTTATCATCATATGCTACAACAGGTAGTCACGTGCTGGTGAATAGGGTCCTCCTGGGTCAGAACCCTAAGATTTGGGTGGACCCGGAGGTCTTCAAGCCGGAGCGCCACATCAGCGGGGACGGTTGCTCGGAGGAGGTGAGTCTTATGGAGCCGGAGATGCGGTTCGTATCGTTTAGTACAGGTCGTCGCGGTTGCATAGGTGGAAAGGTTGGGACATACATGACGGTGATGTTGTTGGCTAGGCTTCTCCAAGGTTTCACTTGGAAGCTCCCTCCGGGTTCGGGTCCGGTTCAGGTCGAGCTTGTGGAGTCGCCAACCAGTTTGCTGATGGCTAAGCCTCTGGTTCTATCCGTGGAACCGAGGTTAGCTCCGCATATGTACCCGCAATTTCGCAACTGATCGAAGAAAAAGATCGTTTCCTTTATGAATGTGTGTCGGGATGTACTATGTATGATGTGTTCTCGGACAATAATCACTTATGTTTTAATTTGCATTGCTGCATAGCAATGGTAATTTTCAGTTACGTCTTTTGTATTTCTCTCACGAGTACCTTTTTTATATCTATGGGTATTTGTAGATATTAACAATGGTAATGTTACTTAAAAAACACTAGTTTGTTCGTTGTAAGCCATTAAGCATAATTAAATATTATTTTGTCTTCTTCTAGCTTATCAATATAGATAAACCTTTATTTTTTTTTACTGCCAACAAATATATGAAATTTACCTTTCAAATGTTCCATCGAATATTACCATTTACTAGTTGTTTGGAAAGGGTTAGATCCGTGTACGTGCATGGATATTTACCACAACATTCTATCTGTTCGTTTTTATAATTTAGATTCATCATATATAAATCCATATTTACTCTTAATATCTAATCATTTTTTACTTTATCTAAATTTAAATTAAAAGAACCGACATTAAACGCTTAATCATGTTGGTTTACTTCGGTGTTCACTGCATTTTGTATTTTATCTAGACGAATTAATTTTTCATCAAAACTCATATAAGCATTTTAATTTTAGATTTTCCATGCTAAACATGTTAAGAAGAAGAAAAAAACACTGACAATGATTATTTAATATAAAATGGAAATATCATCAATATTAGTATGCTAGACATTAAATTAAATTCACCAAAAATCATATAAGCATTTAATTTTAGATTTTGTCGTGCTTAGCATTTAGAGAGATAGAGAGAAACAAATATGCACCACACACGACGAAAATTAATGATAATATGATTATTCAATAAAAAAGAAAATGGAAATACGACGAATATTATAAATGTGGCAGGTTGGTTATAGTATTGCCATTCTAAAGAAATCTCAACATCTTAATTACATTCGCCGGAGTCAAATCAGAAGCCTCTCTTTCGATGGGAAGTTCCGTGAGTATGGAGAAAGATGTCAAGCAGCTAGAAAGCTCAGCAGGAACACTCAGGGCAAAACGAGCGGATTTGCTAGAAAGGGTAGAGACGGAAGAGAAAACGGGTCATCTACGGCGGCTCGAAACAGTCGAGGAATGGCTTACGAAAACTGATACCACTCTACGAAAAGCCGATGATCTGCTTCTTCGCAACGGAGATTCCCGAAAAAAGATAGCCAAAATTAACAAAGAGGTCGATAAACTCAAATCCGAAGGAGTGCGGTGACCCGTCGAGTCCCCCCACATAAGGTATTGTCGGTGCCGACAGAGCCAATGGTCGGCCGAGAGAACATGCTTCAAACTGCATGGAAACTTCTTATGGAGGACGGGGTTAACTTAATTGGTCTATATGGTACGGGTGGAGTCGGCAAAACCGCCATTCTGAGACATATCAACATGAAAATGCTCCGAGAAGATCCAGACCAATTCGACATTGTCATTTGGGTATCTGTGTCTAAGGATGATCCGAATCTTAGCATTCAACAATGTATCGGAGAGAGGCTAGGCTTCGACAAGTTTAACGACAAATGGAACCAATGGGAAACATATAGGAAGGCGTATCGTATTTACAATGTCCTGAGTAAAAAGAGATTTGTTCTGTTTTTGGACGGCTTAGTCACCGAGGTGGTTGTGGATTTAAGTGAGCTTGGAATCCCGCCTCCTACGAAGAGAAATGGATGCAAAGTAGTGTTCAGCACTCGTTCTAAAGAGTTGTGTAAGCTCATGGAGCCCGATGTCGAGGCGGAGGTCAAATGTTTGTCACCGGATGATGCCTGGGATCTTTTTCAAAAGAATGTCACGGTAAAAACGTTAAGTATGCATCCAGAAAATTACTGAACTAGCAAAAGAAATTGCGAGAAAATGTCGGGGCCTCCCTCTAGCACTCAAGGTTATCGGTGGGAAAATGGCATCAAAAAGCTCGGTCTACGACTGGAAACACGCAGTGAACATGTGGACTCCGTCGACCATCGAGAAAATGTGCTTCGAAGCACACGGGAGAGAAGTTGAAATATTTAGTCAAGAGCTATAAAAAAATATTCTAGAAAGTTATCATAATATTACCAATATTAATTTATATATTTATATTAAATAGATAAAATATTTTAAAATTCTTTTAATATTTTATCTTGGATAATTATAAAACTCTAATAATTTTCATCCAAATCTCTGGTATACTTTATAATTATTTTTTCACCCAAATCTATTGTCTACTTTATAATTATTGTGTTTTGATGAGATTTGGACCAACAAAGTAATAACTCGGCCAGCCCATAGCAGGACACTTCATAAAGTAAAGCCCATTAGACAAACCAGGCCCAACGTGTGGGCAGACCTTAGAAAGTTAAAATGAGTTAGGATTCACCGATTCAGTACGAACAAAAGCAACAATAGAGCCGAGTTCCAGAGTAGGCATAATTTCCCATGTATAGTTAAACTGACTGCAAACCCAGCTTTTCCCTGAACTATAGATCAGACCAATCTCAAACCCGTACACTCGAACCAGAAACCCACCGCTGAAAAATCGGGCAAAACCCTAGTTTTTACCTACTGTTCATTCCTGTCTGTTTTCTGCTTGTGAATCATGGTAAATGTTGTCTCTTTTGAAATATCATTAGGCCAAGTAACCCTATGACCTCGTTCCCCAAGATGTTCGATCTCCTTACTTTCATTTCTAGGATTTTCCTGTATGTTTATCCATCTAGATTTCAATTTGCGTCATCTTTGCTTGAATTCGGTTGTTATGTTTGGATTTTTGTGGTTCTAGGAAGTTATGGAGAGATAGATTCGGTGACCACAGTCTCGCCTCTGGTTAACCTTTGGTTGTCTCGTGACACAACAATCAGGTTCGTGCCCTAGACTTTTCCTGAGAAGCTAACATCTAGCGAAGAAATTGTGGACAACTGAACAAATCGAAGAAGAACCTGAACAGAAGATTAAACCAGAAGAACAAAGCAAGGCAAAACAAAGGAAGAAGAAGATCTGAAAAAATGCTCTGTTGTATTAGAAGTAAAACTCAGTTTCTTTACAATGCCCAAGCTCTCCTATATACAATATGCAAGTGATCCCAAATAAAAGATTACAGTACAAAAGATGTAAAGTTGTCAGGAGACAAGTAGTGTGTTGCACATACCGTTATGCAGCAGGGAACATCTTCAGACCATAGTACAGCAGACAAAAATAACTTCTTCACCAAGTAGTGTAGAGTAATAGAAATCTCATGTCTTTTCTTATGACAACTTTGTAAATCAAATCTCAAATTTCGCGTTTGAGATTTGATTTGTGAACCACTTTCAAGATATTGGAGCCATTGAGCCCTTTGTTTGCTTACGATGGGGGTATTGTCTCTTGTGATAAAACCCTCCAACATGGCTTCAACTTCCTCTAAACGAAATCATCTCTGAAACCTGGAAACGAATTTCCGCACTTTACAACCTTTGAATGCGCTAGAGGTAAGGCGAAGTGATATCTTAGCCAGAGTAAAGGAAAAAGAAGAAAAAGAGTGTAGACGGATACACGCTATCCAGTACCGGTTTTCAAGAATGGAGGCACCTTTAAGCCAAGTCGATGTTCTTCTCGACGCTAGAGAAGAACACATCCAACAGATGTGCCTTTACGGTTGTTGCTCCATAAACCTGCGATCTAGCCATCGCTACACAAGAGAGATTGCCAAGAAATGTAGAACCGATAGTCTAGAAACTGAAGGAGTTTTTTTTATCATGAGTTGCCCCGTAATGCTCCCATGTCTAAGGCAAAGTGGATATACACCAAATCCATGGTGGGAAGAGAGGATATACTATGGGAACAGATTAAAAATGATGGAGTTGGAATCTACAATCCATATGGTATAGGTGGAGTTGGTAAAACCAACTTTCTCAAACACGTCAAGAAAAAGTTGGAGGCAAAAGATGGTTTTGACTTGGTGATTTGGATCGTGGTATCCAAGGATACTCAAATTCGGAAGATGTAAGAGACTATCGGAAAGATGATTTGGGTATACAATGAGAGATGGGAACAAAAAAAAGATAGTAAAAGGGGGTAAAATCCACCGTGTGCTTATAGAAAAGGGGTATGTGCTATTATTTGACGAACTTATAGAGAAATGTGGATCTAGGAGAGATCGAAATCCTATCACGGAAAGAAGATATCCACATCCAATATATTATTCACCATTCATACTCGCGAAGTGTGTGTGGCTATGAACACGGATGATGCGATCGAATTCCGATGTTTGAAACATATTGAGGCCTTACTTTTAGTCTGAAATGTAGTAGTTTTGGATGCGTTGGAAAGTCATACAAATATTCTCATGCTCGCCAAACAAATAACTAGAAATTGTTGTGGTTTATCACTAGCGCTTAATATTATAGGTTAAATTATGTCAAGCAAAAGAACAGTAACGTATTGACAACATACGATCTGTGTTTTGGAATCATTAGTCCATAATTTTGATGGTATGATAGATAAAATTTTTCCGGTTTTGAATTACAACTATGATGGTTTAAGATTTGATGGAATGAGTGAAAAAATCAAATTATGTTTTCTATATTGTGCTCTATATTCCGAATATTATGGCATGAACAAAGATGAGTTGGTGTATCAGTTGATGGAGGGGAATCGTAGATGGACTAGGGGATATAGAAACATCGGAGCGTGAGAGTCATTCTATCATCAATAGCCTTGTCGATGCTTGTTTATTGATGAAGGGAGATGATCGTAAGGTGAAAATTCACGATGTAAAACGTGAGATGATGTTGGGGTTGACATCCGGTATGGGAAAGAAAAAGGAACATTTCATTGTGAAAGCGAATGTCGAATTGCGTCAAAGTTTGGCTGTCAAGAATTGGAACGAAGTGAGAAAGATATCATTGATGTGTAATAAAATCGAAGAGATAACAGTTAGTCCCCAATGTTTTGAGTTGGAAACATTTTTCCTTGGAGAGAACTACTTGGATAAACTATCTGGTGATTTCTTTCAATTTATTCCAAGATTGATTGAATTGGATTTATCGTCTAACCGATTGAAAAAATTACCGGAGAAAATATCGAAATTGGTATCGTTGCAGTATATCAACTTGGCGGAGACAAAAATAAGATGATTGCTGGTTGGT